ACAATTGGATGTTGTGCAAAAGCTTGTGATGATTTGTGTATAAATAAAGAAAGCAACTTTTCTGAGTTGTCCATTATGAGCATCATGCCGTAATGGTCCATATCTCGTCTCTTCTCCCTTTTCTTTTTCTTATCTTCTTGTCGATCCATGCATAGAAAACTGACCTGGTACAGGATCCTGGGGAACTTCTCTGTCAGGATGCAGTCCCTGCAGCTGAATGTAATAACCAAAGCTGGAAGCAACCAAGACCAAGTCATATGTTACAGTATCTGCTGGCATACATATGGCTAGGTCTGGGGTGGGCAAGGCTGGGCCAGTTTATACCACCCACTGGCCCGTGAGAACCAATATGGGGTACAGGCCAGGCCAGGTTAGGCTACATCAGCCAGTTCACTTTAGGGCTGGGACTGGGGGCTGGCATATTTGGCTGATCCAGGATACAGCACTCTTGATGAATGCTGAGGTGAGCCAGACCATGCTAAAATGGGCTGCAGCACTCAACAGCACACATAAGATCTGAGATAGGGATAAGCCAATTAGGGGGGCAGTGGGAACTTCTATGTTGGTCTACTGCTCCTGCTGGTGAGTGTGAGAGCTTGGACTGGGGCAGACTAGGCTGGGTAGGGCTACAAAACCCATTGACCTACATGTGAACTGGGTTAGGCGGACAGTCAGGCTGGGCTAAGCCACAGAATCAGCTAGCAGGTGCTGGGGCTAGGAGCAAGTCTTGTCAGGCTAGAGTGCAGAACCACCTGGAAAATGCAAGATCTGGTGCTGGGAGTGGGCCTAGTAGGGAAATTGTGGGTCCCGCTCTGACAGGCAGCAGCTCCCACCAGTGAGCATTTGAACCAGAGCTGGGGATGGGCCTGGCTGAACAGGCAGTGGTATCCATTGGCATGAATGTGGACCAGACAGTAGGGTTGACCAGGCTGAGCCAAGCTCCAACACCCATTGATGTATATGACAGCTGAATGGATGGACTGACCAGTCAGCTACACATATGGGCATGCACAGTAAAGGGCTTGGGACAAGTCTGGTGGGGGTTATTGGGGGTTACTCCAACTAGGCTACAGTTTCCGCTGGTGTGCATGAAGGCTGAATGTGTGGCAGGCAGGGTTTGGCTGGTCCACAGCATTGACTGGTATGCATATGAGATGGGGCTGGGGACAGAACTGACTGGGCGACTGCAATCACCAATGTGTTTGTAGGCTGGTATTGTGACAGAATAAGCCGGACCCCACACTGGCTGTCACACACAGCCATCAGGTCTGGGGTCTCCTCTAGTGAGGTTTCTTTGGGGATCCCCTCCAACTGGATCACTGGACTCAGAACTCCAACGACGGTGAAAAATCACAGGATCTTTGGTCTGACCCTGGAAGGCCTGTACGATGGACAGCATGCCATGATGCTTAAGGGGGACATGACACCCAGTTAATTGAGAGGCATGCAGAGGATATCTAGTACTGTGGAGGGTAGAATAAATTGAACAATTTTTTTGGTTAAACTTTAACAGAAAATATCTGGGCAAATCAAGACTCTAAGGTGAACTACGTCAGCCAAGGGACCACGGAAGGATTTCCTAAGCCTTGGAACAATGAAATTAACAGCATCTCAGAACTATCGAAACCATTTAATTTAAAAAATCATACATTTTAAAACATTTATTTATTAAGATTTTATTATTTATTGGAAAGTCAGATATACAGAGAGGAGGAGAGACAGGAAGATCTTCCGTCTGATGATTCACTCCCCAAGTGAGCGCAACAGCTGATGCTATGCCGATCTGAAGCCAGGAGCCAGGAACCTCCTCCAGGTCTCCCATGAGGGTGCAGGGTCCCAAGGCTTTGGGCCATCCTCGACTGCTTTCCCAGGCCACAAGCAGGGAGCTGGACGGGAAGTGGAGCTGCCTGGATTAGAACTGGCACCCATATGGGATCCCAGTGTGTTCAAGGTGAGGAGTTTAGCCACTGCGCCATGTCGCCGGGCCCCATATTTATTTTTATTGGAAAGTCAGATATACAGAGAGGAGGAGAGACTAAGAGGAAGATCTTCCATCCATGGTTCACTTCCCAAGTGGCCGCAACGGCTGGAGCTGTGCTGATCTGAAGCCAGGAGCCAGGAGCTTCTTCCAGGGTCTCTCATACATGTGCAGGGTTCCAAGGCTTTGGGCCATCCTTGACTGCTTTTCCAGGCCACAAGCAGGGATCTGGATGGGAAGCCGGGCCGCCGGAATTAGAACCAGAGCCCATATGTGATCCCAGTGCATTCAAGGTGAGGACTTTAGCAGCTAAGCTATCACGCCAGGCCCAGAACCATTTAAGCAGTACCCTTAGAACATGCTCCACATCAGGGACCCTGGGATAACATTGGTGGCTGTCCCCCATTTCCAGATACTGATACAGTTGGGCTACTGAGAGCAGCCTGCTGGAGATCAGGAAGGGTGTATGGAGTCGATGAAAAGAAGAGACATGGACAGTGTCATTTTGTGCCCTCTGTCAACAACTCAAGAAGCTGTTCTTTTGGACCTGGCGTGATAGTGTAGTGGCTAAAGTCCTCGTATTGCACACGCTGGGATCCCATATGGGATCCTGCTTCCCATCCAGCTCTCTGCTTGTGGCCTGGGAAAGCAGTCAAGAACAGTCCAACCTTGGGACCCTGTGCCCGCATGGGAGACCTAGAAGAAGCTCCTGGATCCTGGCTTCAGATTGGCTCAGTTCTAGCCGTTGTGGCCACTTGAGAAGTGAACCATGGATGGAAGATCTTCCTCTCTGTCTCTCCTCCTCTCTGTATATCTGACTTTCCAATATAAATAAACATCTAAAAAAAAAAAGCTGTCCTTTTTATTTACTCAGACACATCACAAGCCTCTGTACACATGTTTGTTCTATTTTTAACTTCATGACAAATCTGGCATGCACAGATATCCGATTATTTTTACTTCATGGTCAACCAAGTGCTCTTACAGATAATTCTGTAAGTTACTATAATCAGTTTCTTCAAAGCAAGCTATTATTTATTCTTCAGTAGTAGCCATTACGCGACAGCCATGACTCCAAGGCCAAGCTAACATGCAGCTACCTACTAATACATTCCCACTGCATTTCTGTTTCTACAATTTATCTATGACTTAATGGGAGAAATACATCAAAAGGGAAAAAAACATTAAGATCCAAGACAAAAGTTCCAAATATTAAATCCCCTACAACTATAGGCTCTACAACTCATAAACAAACAATAATTAAAACCATATTTCTATATTAATAAAACCACCCTATAATTCTCCTAGCCAAAAAATTATAAAAGCAGCTAAAACAGATACATTTTCTATGCTCCAAAGAATTGCAAGGACAGGCTAGCCTTTAAGGTCACAGTAACTGTATTTATTGCCATAGCAGTTTCAGCTCATACTCCCATCACTTCCATTAGTTTGTAGAATTCTTACTTATCAAGCCATTTCCCAGAGGACATGCTACATGTCTGGGCCAAATTCCAGGGCACACAATAAGGTGTCCAGAAAAGGGATGGGCTTAATTGTGCTGTGTGTATGTAGTTCAAGGCCCATTCACCAAGACATGACCAGTAACATTAACTCCCAAGCTCACATCAGTTGCAAAACCATCGCACAGGGACAAACAATGCCTCAATGGATTGCAGAATTCTTAGCGGGGTGGTGGAGTGTCCATGCAAAAGGGAAGAGTGTGTCAAGGTGGTTGGAGAGCCATCGCCAGGTCCTGCCATACAGCTGGAAGCTCCTCACAGCCTTGCTAACAGGGGAGCTGTTCTCTTCACACCTTCCTGTCATCCACACCCACTGCACGGACACCAGCAGCGGCCCACTCACTTCTCTTCCCACTTTTCCCAGATCCAGGAAGAATAAAGGAAATTGGAGGCAACCGTCTCATCCACTTTCCCCCATTCCTAGACCCTCACCATCCTGAACAGTCATTACTATGAGCACCTATCCTTCTCATCTGTGTAAACATCATCAAAAAAGAAAACACGTTTATTCAAAGATTTATTTTTATTGGAAAGGTAGATTTACAGAGAAGGACAGACAGAAAGCTCTCCTATCCTCTGGCTCACTCCCCAAACGGCTGCAACGGACTCAAGCTGATCTCAAGTCAGGAGCCAGCCAGGAGTTTCTTCTGGGTCTCCTGTCAGGTGCAGGGTCCCAAGGCCTTGGGGGGCCACCCAACACTGCTTTCCCAGCCCACAGGGAGGGAGCTGGATGGCAAGTGGAGCAGCTGGGATATCCCCATGAGAGGATCCCAGAGTATGCAAGGCGAGGATTTAACCACTAGGCTATCACGCTGGGCCCGGCTTAGCCATTTTCTAAAATGAATTCTATGCCCAGAGAAAGAATATAACTCCAGCAGTCTGAGGGCTCAGAGACGCTTTCAGGTATGATTTCCATTTCCGGGCGAGCATGAGGAACGCTGGCTTTGCTGGAGATGCTGCCCTAAGCGCAGGCGGGCCGCTTTTCCCCCTGCGGATCAGAACCCACCCTCACACACTTGTAGGTCTCTTCCCGGCAGCTTCTCTGCCCAGGAGACGCGGCCTGAGGCGCTTCCCGGGGCCTACTCCATACCTGAGGACACTGCAGCCCCGTCCTCTGCGGCCGCCTCAGCCTCTCGCGACGGCAAGTTCCGCACGTCCTGCGGCCAGACGCTCCCGCCGGCCACGACGTCACCGAGACGCCGCGCGCTGCTCGTGACGTCACTCGCGGCGGCGGGAGCGGGCGCCCTCGCTCTCACACGCCGGGGCCCGGGAGGCGGTGCCGGTGCCGCGCGTCCGGCGAGTGACCCCCGCGCGTTCCCTCGTCCAGTCGCGTCCGGCCCGGACGGCGCGGCCACGCCGGGAGGGTCGGCGGGGGCGCGCACGCCTGCGTCCTCACGCACGCGGCGCGGACGGCGTCACCCGCACGAGGACGCCGCGCGGTGGCGGGCGGGCGGCGGAGAGGTGTGCGCGGCTGCCTGCCGAGGCCGCGGTGGGCCGGGCGGTCGGGCTGCCCCGGCCGCGGTGCAGGCCTGGCCCCCGGGGCCGGTTCCCGCGCTTGTCTGAGTGAGCCGCCGCGTCGGCGCCCCCGAGCCCGCCATGTCGTACATGCTGCCGCACCTACACAACGGCTGGCAGGTGGACCAGGCCATCCTGTCGGAGGAGGACCGGGTGGTCGTCATTCGCTTCGGACACGACTGGGACCCCACCTGCATGAAGATGGACGAGGTCCTGTACAGCATCGCGGAGAAGGTGAGGCCGGAGCGGGGGCCTCCACGGCTGCAGGCCGTCCTCCGCTGCCCTCACATCCGTACGTGGGAAGTGGGGCAGCCGGGACTTGAACCTGGCCCGTGTGGGATGCCGGCGTCCTGGCCGCTACTACACAGCGTAGGCCCCTGTTTTCTGTTTCTGTTTCTGTGAGCCGACTTTGGGGTGTGTGTGTGTGTTTTCTCTGTGACCCTCAATGCCCTTTGGATGTAATTTAGTTTCCAGTGTGAAGTGATTGAAATGCAGAGAACATTAACAGGAAGCAGGACTGTGCATACTTGTACTAATGTTTAAGATCTCTATACAGGCGGTTTGGCTTCTTGCTGCTGGTGGAAGTGCGTTACTGTCCAGGCTTTGTGTGTGACTAGCGGTCGCATCTTGTGTAGAACAATGAAAGTAGTAGAGACAGCAGAAAGCACCTGCTAATGCTGTTGAGTTACAGTAACCCCTTTGACTGCCAAGTAACAGGTGCAGGGGTGCCTTAGGAATGGAAACCGTTGTCTGGGACTGTTCCCAGAGGCGGGTGGCCTTGGGGAGCTCACTCCCATGTTGCCCCAGGATGCTCATCTGTGGGCTAGGGTGAGTCCAGTGTCAGGGTTTTAAACATGCTTCCCCCAGGCAGTTCTGGTGTGGTGGGGCCTTGGGCCGCACTTTCAGGTCCTGCCAGGGTTTGGGGTGGGGGGTTAGGGTCGGAGCAGGAGTGGCTTAATTATCAGCCGCCTGCTGTTCCCCTTCCCATGGGAACCCCAAGAGGGTAGGGGCTCTAGGGTCCTGCCAGCCTGGGTCAGAATGAAGGTGTGCTGAAGAACCAGTTCTGTTATGGTTAGCTCAGCAGACAAGTACCAACTTCAGTGAAGAATTGACTGAAAGTGGATTTCTCGTAAGCATACCACTGTTGTGTTTATTTCCAAATAACTTTGGGTTATATAATCTGGAATCTCACTGGTTTGTCTAACAAGGTGTCAGACACTGCTGCCTTCACCTCTGCCTATGGTGGCCAGAGAAGTGAGGACCTGTGGTGGTCCAGGAATCAGCAGAGTCAGCAAGATGCTACAAGGTTGGAACAGTGTGATGTGCAGGTGTGAGCATGTAAAGACCCCACTGGACACTTTTAAGATTTATTTATTTTTACTGGAAAGCAGATTTACCGTGAGAAGGAGAGATGCAGAGACAATATCTTCCATCCACTAGTTCACTTCCCAAATGGATACTGATCTGAAGCCAGGAGCCGAGTGTCTTGTTGGTCTCCCATGTGAGTGCGGGGTCCCAAGGCATTTGGCTGCCCTTGACTGCTTTCCCAGGCCACAAGCAGGGAGCTGGATGGGAAGCGGGGCCTCCAGGATTAGAACCAGCACCCATATGGGATCCCGGTGTGTTCAAGGTGAGGAGTTTAGCCACTACTCTATTGCACCAGGCCCATTGCGCCACTTCTAATCCAGCTCCCTACTGAGTATGTGGAAAAGCAGCAGCAGACTACCCAGGTGCTTGGCCCCTGCACCCACGTGCGAGACTCCCATGGAGTTCCTGCTTCATTCTGGTCCAGGCCCAGTTGTTGCCTCATTGGGGAGTGAACCAGTGGATGGAATATGAAACTCTTTGTCTTTCTGTGTGTCTCCTCTCTATAATTCTGTGTTTCAGATAAATATGAGTTTTTAAAAACAAAATGTATTGAAAAGCTTTTTTTTTTAATTCTTTATTTTCTATCCCTTTTGGGGGAGCACAGTGAGAATGTCTGAGTTTGAAAGTTTTAGTGTAAAGATACAAAGCTGTGTGACATCCGCCTGTGCTGAAGGTAGTGGGTCCTGAAGTCCTCTCTGGACTGTCTTAGTGATAATGTTCCAAGTGTAGGGCCTGAACCTACTGTCCTGTTCCTTCCAAAAATGTGTTGTTGACACCGGCGTCTGCAGTGCCCGCTCTGCCCTGCTGGGCTGGAATGGCTGTGAGCTGTGTGCTTTATAGAAATTGTTGGTTTAAAAACATTTGCTCCAAGATTATGGATACATGTGAGCTTACTGGGTAGTGTGATGATACTGAGCTTCCTGCTGTTAGCTGTAGGCGCGCACAGTTCTGAAGATAGATTCCTGTGTGCCTCATGGAGCTGCTTTCCAGTTTCCAGGAGCACAGTTGGTCACAACAGGGCCCTAGGCTCCCTGTTACCTCAACTGCATAATGGATGAGAATAAACAGGGTATATTCCTGTGTGTCAGAGAGCCCATATAAGTACAATTTGAAATATCCTCAGCTATATGGAACATTGAGTTGTGGCAAGGCATTCTAAGTTGTATGTAAAGAGGATAAGCTCTATGAATTGTAATCGTCCATGGAGGATGACTGAGGTCACTGGAGCCGGCGAATCTTAGAGGAGAGACTACATCTTTTGGGTATTCATGATGGGGGCTGTCTGCTGTCAGTGCATGGCTGAGGTCCTGCCACCCACTGGAAAACCTTGATTGAGCTTCTGCTTCCTGGCCTGGTCCAGTCCTGGCTGTTGGCACATTGAGAGTGTATCATCAGAAAGATTTATCTGTCTCTGTGTCTCTGCCTTTTGAATAAACATAAATCCAACTTGATTGGCTGAGATTGTGGAAAACAAAGACATATGAGTTGCTTCACAAGTTGTTGGGAAGTGGAATTAAATAAGTTACATTGATGTACAAATTTAAATCATGCGTAATTTTTTTCATAATGTGCATTTTGCATGGCTGTTCTGAAGACCTCCTGTATGGTATTTGGCTAAAAAAAAAAGTTGGGGGCCATTTTGCCTACCGTAGTGTGTGCAGCCTTGTGGGGGGTCCAGGGGTGCAGGGGGCCTCGGCGATAGTGCTAACAAGGGTGTATGGAGACCTGGGGGCTCAAGCTGAAACACCTGGAGTGAGCCTGGGGATTTCTCCACATGCTTGGTTCTGGGAAGGGTCTGAGGAGGGAAGGGGAGGGCACTGGATTAACATGCTGGTGCAGTGTGCTGGTAAATCAGGTTTGGGGAACTTTGAATGGACTAGGAACTTGAGTGAGAAGAGGGGTAAGGTTCTAGGCCAGCACATATGCCAGGAGCTTGGGACCCCAATGGGTGAGCAGAGCTCCAGGCCAGCACACCATCCCACAGGCAGACTGGGGTTTGGAAGGCTGCGCTGGAGTGCAAGGACTGTGAATTGTCCAAGGAAAGGGGTGAGGAGATGTGTGGGAGGAAGACTACTGAGAGAGTATGTTGCAGTTGAGGAATGACTTCTGAGGGACTTCACTTGACGAGACCCTTGTATTTGCAGATGAACCAGGGACCGAGCGGTTTGGAGGGGGAAATTGGAGGTTCTTTAAGGATCAGATCAATGCACTAGCCCACATGGGAGACCTGAGCTGGGTTAATTAGCATCAACCACCACTGACCACCACTCCCTGGCATACACTAAAGCTGGGACTGGTGCCTACCCAGCAAGGGCTAGACCACTGTACCTGCCAGTGGGATTTGGAGCAGGTCATGTAAGGCTGGGCCATGACACTAACTAGCATATGAGAGAATCAGGTCTGGGGCAGAGTCTGTGGGGGATATGTGGGCCTACCCCTGTGGAACTTCAATTTCCACAGGTTTGCTTAAGAGCTGGGGTAGTGATGGGCTGAAATAGGCATCACCATGGAACTCTTTGACACTCATGGGCACTGGGGTTGGGAACCGGCCAGGCTGGTCCAGGCTGCAACATCCACTAACTCATACAAAGGCCAGGTCAGAGGGAACAGACTCTGTCAGGTAAGGGCCTAGCACCTGCTAGGAATGTGTGAGATCTGAGTCTGGGAGTGGACCTTGGGAAACACCCCTAGTGGGTCATAGCCTCTGCTGGTGAGCATGTGGTTCAGTCCTGGGTGTTGGGGAGGCTTGGCAAGGTGGTTCCACCCATTGGCACATGTGTGAGTTGGTTTTGGAAGAGGGCAGACCAGGCAGATCCAAGCAAACTGTAACCCACTGGCATGTGCAGGAGCCGGGATGGAGTGTGGGTCATGCCAGGCTAGGCTATCACACCTTCCAGTTTGCATGAGCCATGGATGGGAGTAGTTGGACAGCACCCACCATCAAGATTGGGATGGGGGCAGGCCAGGATAGGTCAGGCTGCAGCATCTGATGGCAAAGTCGAAGATGGGGGGGGTGGGCTTTCGAGCTGGGTCAGAGCAAACACTGGCATGTGCAGAATCTGTGCCTGGAAGCAGGCCTAGTTGGGGAACTAAGCGGGTGTCCCAGCTGGGTTCTAGTTCCCATTGGTGAGGGTGAGTGGAGGACAGGCTGGACTAGTTCTCAACACTCGCTGTGCCACACAAAAGCTGTGTCTGGGTGTGGGCCAGGTGTGACTTTGCTGTAGCACCCAGTGGTAAGAACCAGAATGGGTTTGGGGCCATTCAGGCAAGACTACTGTTGCTGCCAGGACAGGAGGTAGACAAATCAGCTTGGGCAAAGGACCCACTGGTGTGTGAGATCTGCTGCTGGGAGGAGAGCTGATAGAGGAACTTGGGGAACTCCTCTGGCGGGATGCAGTCCCTGCAGGAAAGCACAAGAATCAGGGCTGAGGTGGGCCAGATTGGGCCAGCCCATAGCACCCACTGTCAGATGAGAACCAGGATGAGTGCAGGACAGACCGGGTTGGGCCGCAGCAGCAGCCAGTTCACATCAGGGCTGGGACTGGTTTGAATGAGATGGGGTTGGGGACAACTGACCCAGCAATTCCAACTACCAGTGTATGCATAGGCTGATGTGGATGATGGACTGAGCCAGAGCCCACTTGCAAACACACATGAGAGTCACTGGGATCACTTCAGATAAGGTTTCTTTGAGGATCCCCCTCAGCTGAACCACTGGACTCAGAACTCCAACCGTTACAGGATCTGTGGACTGACTGTGGAGTGCGTGTATCAAAACTGGGCCTTCTCAGTGGCTAAGATGGAGCAGCAGGTGGCATGCCCAGATGCACATAGTGGATATGGCAATCCATTGGGGCCTGCAGAGGCCATTTGGTACCATAGCAGAGGAAGGAAGTCAGAACAAATGGGTCAACTACCCCAGCCAATTGTTGACAGCAAAAATCTGGACAAATGGAAACTCTAAGGTGGACTGTGTCAGCCAATGGGCCTTGAAAGGATATCCTCATCTTTGGATCAGTGAGATTGATAGCATTTCAGAACTATTGAAAGGACTTGAGCAGAACCCTCGGAGAATGGTCCGCATCAGGGCCCCTGGAATGACATCAAGCGGCTGTTCCCCCATCCCCTAGTACTGAGGCCTTTGGGAGGCTGGGTGTGGCCTCTCCCCTTATCTGCCCCCTCCCCCAGTTACAGGAAGAAGGAAAAAGAATGTGCAAACAGTGATCTTATCCATTTTCTTTTAATGCTTGACCCTTCCCACCCTCATCAACTATGTAAACATCATCAAAAATAAAATACCAAATTAGAAAGAGGTGAGGCTGGCACAATCAACAGGCCAATCTTCCACCTTCAAGCACCAGCATCCCTTACGGGCTCTGCTTTGTGTTCCAGCTGCTCCACTTCCCGTCTGGCTCCCTGTTTATGGCCCGGGAAAGCAGTGGAGGATGACTTAAGTCTTTAGGATCCTACACTCTCATAGGAGACCAACAAGAGGCTCCTGGCTCCTGGCTTTGGATCAGCTCTTTCAGAGGTTATAGCCATTTGGGGAGTGGATTAGCGGATGTAAGATCTTTCTGTTTGCTCTCTGTAAGTCTGCCTTTCAAGTAAAAGTAAGTAAAGTAAATCTTTAAGGGAAAAAAAAAGCCACTGTGCTATTCAACAAACAATTAAGGTTACTTAAAAATATCATACTAAATGTTATTTATTTATTTTAAAGGTTTATTTTTATTGGAAAGACAGATTTACAGAGAAAAATAGAAACAAAGATCTTACATCCGAAAGAAAACTCTTCCATCCCTAAAAGGCTGTAATGGTTGGAACTCAGCTGATCGGAGCAGAAGCCAGAAGGCTCCTGCATGTCTCCCATGTGGTTGCAAGCTCCCAAGGCTTTGGGCCATCCTCTGCTGCTTTCCAAGGCCACAAGCAGGGAGCTAGTTGGGAAGCAGGGCCGCTGGGATTAGAACTGGTGCTCATATGGGATCCCGGCACGTTCATGGCGAGGACTTTAGCTGCTAGGCCACAGCACCGAGGCCCTCTTTCTGTATTTTCAAACTGAATGTTTTCACAAATGGAGCTCCCTGCCTGTGGCCTGGGAAAGCAGTAGAGGACGGCCCAAAGCCTTGGGACCCTGCACCTGCGTGGGAGACTCCAAAGAAGCTCCTGGCTTCTGGCTTCAGATTGGCTCAGCTCCAGCCGTTGCGGCCACTTGGGGAGTAAACCATGGGCTGAAGATCTCTTCCCACCCCCCCTTTCTCTGTATATCTGACTTTGCAATAAAAATATAAAGTAAATCTAAAAAAAAAAAAGGAAATAGTCAAGTGTTTAAACACACACACAGAGAAACGTGATTCTGTCCTGTGTCCCAAGGTCTTTAGAGCAGTCACATGTTTACACACATACACACATGAGCCTGTCCTGTGTTCCAGAGGTTCTTAGGAATAGTGAAATTTACACATATTTAAGGTTAATAAAGTTTATAACTGAACATTGGCATTAATGAAACATTTGATTTACAGGCCTGAAAAATCAGAAACATTGATAGTTAATTGTAACATATAATAGCATGTAACAGCCACTGATGGTATAATATACAATTGTAAAAATGCTTGGTAATTTAACAGTGATCATGAATGAAGCAGGACCCAAAGTATTGTTTTGTATTAGCCATGTGACATTTCTGAAACAGTGTACATAATTTTTTTTTTAAAATAAGCCTTGAGAAAAGGCAGGGAAGGGTCTTTAGTGAAAGAGTCAGAGAAGGGGCAGGAGGGAAGTGCATCCAGAGCAGCAGCTCCTCTGGTGTGCAGGGGTGAGGGGTCTTTTTGTTCTCCCTCACTTTTTTGTTTTTAAATACTGTCTGATGAGCTTACATTTGAAGAAGGTGGGTCCAGCTGATCTTTGCAAGCATTCAATCCAGAGCTGTTGGGTAGGAGCAGGCCAGGTTCTACAGGCATGTTATCGAGCAGTGGTGTGATGTAGAAGTGCAGATTGTAAGAATTCCCATGGGTGTTACTGTAGTTCAGCTGTGGATGTCTCAGAAGAACATTCAAAACTTGTCCCAGATTTAATCAATTGCTCAACTATTGAGAAATGTTACAGTCAATTGTAAAAAGGCCTCGTGGTGTTTTCTTGTATGTTAGCTCTGTTCACTTAAAAACTGTCCTACTATGGTACTGGCATGATGGCTCAATGACGAAATCCTCATTTTACAAGACTGGGATCCCGTATGGGCTGGTTGATATACTGGCTGTTCCACTTCCCAATCCAGTTCCCTGCTTGTGGCCTGGGAAAGTAGCGGAGGATGATCCAAAGCCTTGGGACCCTGCACTCAAAAGACCTGAAGAAGCTCCTGGCTCCTAGCTTCAGATCGGCTCAGCTCGTGCCATTGCGATCATTTGTAGAGTGAACCAGTGGATGGAAGATCTTTCTCTTTGTAAATCTGATCTACCTTCCCAATAAAAAGAAAGATTTTTTTTTTAAGATTTGTTTATTTTTATTGGAAAGGCAGATATACAGAGAGGAGAGACAGAGAACATCTGCTGTCCATTGATTCACTCCCCAAGCGGCCGCAACAGCTGCAGCTGAGCCAATCCGAATCCAGGAGCCAGGAGCTCTTCCGGGTCTCCCATGAGGGTGCAGGGTGCCAAGTCCTTGGGCCATCCTCGACTGCTTTCCCAGGCCACAGGCAGGGAGCTAGATGAGAAGCAGGGCTGCCAGGATTAGAACCGGGGCCCATATGGGATCCCAGCACATTCAAGACAAGGACTTTAACTGCTATGCTATCATGCCGGGCCCAAAAAAATAAGACTTTTTTTAAAACGTCCTATTATGACATAAATTCTGTTGTTTAATCTCTTTCCTTTAGGTGAAGAATTTTGCAGTTATTTATCTTGTGGACATCACAGAAGTGCCTGACTTCAACAAGATGTATGAGCTGTACGACCCATGCACCGTCATGTTTTTCTTCAGGTGCGTTGGGGGCGTGGCTGTGGGACTGAAATCAAAACCCTAAGACCCTTTCAACACTCGAGAAGGAAGCTGGGGCCAACTGATCTGTGTTAGTCTTTTGAGTAATTCCACAGTGGCAGTTCCAATTTCAGTGTTATTTATCCAGTAACAACTTGCTCATTTGAAATCGCATGGCTGGAAACCCAGGCAAAGTATAAATAAATGGAAGTTGTTACCTGTACCACCATCAGGGGGCACCAGCATTTTGCCTGGTAAATAACTCACTGACTGCCATGGCAGTAACTTCATTTAAGTGTCTGTTTTTCCTGGTTTGATTACTTTGTTTATAGGTACAGTTGGTTGGCTACTCTGTAATTCTGTTGTTGACTGTGGAGAGGAAGTGCCACTCACATGGTTTTGGCAGGACTTGGCTGCAGCTAGGAGAGCCTTGGCCACATCCAGGAGGACATAGGGTCCGCTGGGCCTGGGGCTCCTGTCAGGGTCAGCTGCATTCTCTCCTCAGGACCCCTCTGTCTGTGAAGGCAGCACAGCGGGGGGAGTCCCTCTCAGGACCTGCCAGCTTGACCTGTGCAAACCTTGCTTTAAGAAGGCCCACCTGGGTGTCCCCCAAGACTAATGCACATCGCTGGGAAAGAGCCCCTGCCTCTGTAGACCTCCTTCTGTAGAGCTGAGCCCCAAAACCTCAGGCAGGCAGTCTCGCTGTTGGTCCAGGCAAGGCTCTGCAGGTGGCACTGCTCCTGTATGGACCTCGCTGTGAGGCTGAGTGGGAAGGGATGCCCACTGACCTGTTTCCTGTGGTCTGGCCCGGAAAAAGCTGCTGCAGAACTGGGAGGAAGGCCATGATGCAGGACTGTCTCCAAAGACAGCATTTCTAAGTGTCACATCCCCACATCTGCTCAGCCTGCAAGCAGGGAGAGATTTTTGGCTGCCACTTGTTTGAGAAGATCCTAGGGGTCTCCCACCCCTGAGGCTCCCCCCTTTTCCTAAAGCGGGGGTCTCCTCCACTGAAGCCAGCAGCCACGAACTCTACCTAGGTCTCCTACGTGGGTGGCAGGGGACCAAGCACTTGGCTGTCCTCTGCTGCCTCCCGCGATCAGCAGGGAGCTGGAAGTGGAGCCGCTGGGACTCAGCCTGGTGCTTCCATGCTGGGTTAGATGCTGCCTCACAAGCACGTCTCTGGTGCGTGTTTTTTCACAATGTCCTGTTTCCTGCTCCATTTCCCAGTGGTAGGTCCTCCCTTCTGACCCTCACCAGCACATTCTTAGGTCTGTTCAAGGCCGACTGGGCCTTTTCTACTAGGCTTCTCAGAATTCTTCCAATGTTGAGTTGGACAGAGAGATGGTCATCCTGGGGCTCTGCCTCCTCTGAGACGTGGCTGGGCTGTCCCAGGGGATAAGATTCCAAGAAGGGTGGGCTATCAGGCTGGTGTTGTGCTCTCTGTGGGTCTGACAGTGTGCCCAGAAAGGGGGATGAAATCTGCAGTTTCTATGAAAGTATGCTAGCACTAGAAGTGCTCCAGTTAGATTAACTGAGCCCCACCAGGTGTTGGGGCCTAGTGCTATGTCAGTGTCAGCTAAGATGGGATTCCTGCTGTCGCCACACTCACTCAGCTAAACCAGGTATCAGGACTGCAGTGGCAGCCTGCCACACAGCTCACTCCTGCCATCAAGAACAGTGAGTGATGGAAAACAAGCAAGAGGTGGCAAGAGATCAGGGCCTGATCCTGGGCTTCCAAGACCCCGTCCAGGGGGCGGCTGGGAGCATCGTCCTGAGGTGAGTGTGAAGAGACGGGCAGCCTCAGATGTGCCTCACGGCCTCCTGTGGTTGAAAGGGTCAAATTAGAGCCTACCTCGAAGCATGGTCGTGGAACAGCGGGTTGAGCCAGATGTGGGATCTTGTTAGAACCACTGATGATCCGTCTGCAGCAAACCAGGGAAAACTCATGCAGGTGTAACAGGGTTTTATGAACATAAATACAAAGCCAGGAGAAAATCTGGCCCCTGAAGAGTATGGAGTGGTTTGCTTCTTGAGCATAGCAATGAAATGTCACTTGTGTTTTATGTTATCGGACCCTAGGAGCACTGCATAACTGTGCCCTGCCTATTCCCTGTTGATTCGTGCAGCCCCCTCTGCTAGTTTGTTGTTCCAAGTGACAAGTGTACCCTTGACCTTGAGTTGCCCTTGGGTGTTTGAAGGAAACACAGAGCATGCCTGCATTGTGGCGCAGTAGCCATGTTGCCTCCTGGCAGCTGGGTCTTCCACTCTTGTGGTCAGCAGCTCTGTGCAAGGATAATGGTTGAACCTTGACAAGATTTTCATGGGAATCAATGGCTTCTTTGCAGGAACAAGCACATCATGATTGACTTGGGCACTGGCAACAACAACAAGATCAACTGGGCCATGGAGGACAAGCAGGAGATGGTGGACATCATAGAGACTGTGTACCGTGGCGCCCGTAAGGGCCGAGGCCTGGTTGTGTCTCCCAAGGACTACTCCACCAAGTACCGATACTGAGGCCTGTGTGGGGTGATTCATATCGTATGCCAGGCTCGCGAGCTGGAGGTGCTGTGCAGTGTGCTTGCCCAGGTGGCAGTGAAAATAAACGCAGCAACTTGATGCAGGGATTGCCGAGTGTACTCACAGTCCATTCTTGTTTCCCTCCTGCTCAGCATGCTTAGCCGTCAGCTGGGGCTCAGCATAGCCAGGTGCTGCCAGCTCAAGAGAAGTTTGGGAGGAGGGCGCAGACAGCATCCGTCCATCTGAGGCTGACTGAGGGTCCTCAGGCCTCTGCCTGGCTCCTGGGCTGCGAGGTGCTGTGCCCCAGAAACAGCCTTCAGTAAGGCTCTGCAGAATCTATCTCCATAGGTACATCAGCCGTGTTGGGCGAGAACCACCCTGCTCCCGGATAGGGCTGTGGTATGTGATTCCAGGATCCAGAGCCATAGTGTTTGGGTGCAGGTGGTCAGCACGGTCCATCCCGGCCTCCAGATAATGCATTGCTGTTGCCAGGAGGGCTGGTGCAGCTGCCCGGGCTGTTTGTGATGTGTAGGTATACTGACCCTGCAGTCCACACAGTGGGGGGTCTCACTTCAGGGCTGGTGTTGGACCCAGTGGGTTAAGAAACCACCTGAGACATCTCTCCCATATCGAGTGTTGGTTCAGGTCCTGCCCAGTCTGCATCTGGGATCTGGCTCCTTGCTAATGCAGTGGGAAGGTCAGTGCTTGGTTCCCTGCCACCCAGGAGGCAGTTCCTGACTCCCAGCTTCAGTCTGGCTTGGCCCCAAGTATTCCAGGCATTTGAGGAGTGAACAAGCAGATGAAAGGTTTCCGGCTCCATCTCTCCCTCTCTGCCTTTCAGATAAATAAATAAACCACCCATCCATATATAACTCCTTCCTGCAGTACCCGCACTTTGATAGGAGTGTGTGTGGCATTCCATGGCAGCTGCTGTGGCTTTCAGACCCAGGCTCTTGCCTACTGACCGACTGTGAGCAGTAGCCGTTACTGCAGTCTTGTACACATGTGGAATACACATGTAGAATACACAGGTGTTACTTTGTACATACTAACACAGTGTCCACAGGTGCACAGGGAGTGCCTTGTGCACATGTAAATACACAGGCGGTGCCTTATGCAGCTGTGCGTGAGCACATGAAGGAGTGCCTGTGGCTGCTTAATTAGTGTGAAGATGCTAAGTGCTGTTGTTTGATCAGCCAGATGTTGAGTCCTAAAGAGAACTGAACAACCCTTAGACCACCTGGCCATGTGGGAGAAGTTAGTCACCACTTGGTGTCTGGTCCCTGTTGCGTGAACTGTCCAGTACAGACAGACCCAAAGCCTGCAGGATTCTGATGTGTAGTTGGTGGGTGTGCAACCATGTCAGGGACTACTGACCCTGAGTGGGCTGTGGGTCACCTCACTGGCAGCAGTGTTGTATGCCTGGGTTCCACATCTGTGTCTCATGGACATGTCAGAGGGGGCTCTGGGCCTCTTGTGGGAACAGGAGCCCAACCTTGAACCTCCATGGAGGCCCGTTCTCTAAAAGTAGCCACTTGAGGGGCTTCAACTCAAGTGTGGGGGCTGCATGTGAATGCCACATTGCTTGCACACTATTGTCATCACATGCCTTATGGTTTGTAATGATGCTGGCTAATGGCATCCCAAGTCTACCTTGCCTTCTGCCAGAGAGCAAGCAATCACAGATACCAGAAAGAGAAACTCAAGCTTAGATTGCCCCAAATATAGTCACAGGGGATGTGCACCTGAGCCCCTAGCTGCTTGGCTCCCAGACCCGGCCTCATCTGCTGCCTTGGGAAAGATCACAGTCGGAGCAGCTGGCAGAAACCACAAGCCTGGGTGTGCAGACAGCGGGAGCACACATTCCCACAGATACTGGCACATGTATTTACTGCAGCAGCATTTGGGAACAATTAGCTAGAAAGTAGGCAATTCAAAAGACTGCTACACCACAGACAGTGAGCTAGAGCCAAGGACACTGAAGGGCAGGATGCCAGGTGTCTGCAGTGGACGAGCAGGCTGATTTGCTCTGGGTTTCTTATCAAAATGTAGGTATGAATGAGTGCATGGAGGACTTACCTCACCTTCACCCTTTCTAAATCACTTAACAGCTTTGAGAATGCTTCTTGACTCTAGTATTTTTAAAAAGTTTTTACAGGGCCCGGCGCGGTGGCGCAAGTGGTTAAAGGTCCTCGCCTTGCACGCCCGGGATCCCATATGGGCGCCGGTTCTAATCCCGGCAGCCCCGCTTCCCTTCCAGCTCCCTGCCTGTGGCCTGGGAAGGCAGCAGAGGACGGCCCAAGGCTTTGGGACCCTGCACCCGCGTGGGAGACCCAGAAGAGGCTCCTGGCTTCGGATCGGCATAGTATCGGCCCGTTGCGCTCACTTGGGGAGTGAATCATCGGACGGAAGATCTTCCTCTCTGTCTCTCCTCTCTGTATATCCGCCTTTCCAATGAAAAAATAATAAAAATAAATCTTTAAAAAAAAAAAAAAAAAAAGTTTTTACAGTTTATGAATCATTTAAAAAAAAAGAAATCACCATAGATGTTGTCACTGCAAAATCTTTGCTGTTCTTCAATCTCCAGCTTTTATTATTAATTTTTTTAAAGGTTTATTTGAGGGCCCGGTGCAATAGCGAAATGGTTAAGGTCCTCACCTTGAATGCACCGGGATCCCATATAGGCGCCGGTTCTAATCCCGGCAGCCCCGCTTCCCATCTAGCTCCCTGCCTGTGACCTGGGAAAGCAGTCGAGGACGGCCCAAAAACTTGGGACCCTGCACCCTTGTGGGAGACCTGGAAGAGGCTCCTGGCTTTGGATTGGCTCAGCTCCAACAGTTGCAGCCGTTTGGGGAGTGAATCAATGGACAGCAGATCTTCCTGTTTGTCTCTCCTCTCTGTATATCTGCCTTTCCAATAAAAATAAATAAATCATAAAAAAAAAAAAAAGATTGGGCCTGGCGCGGTGGCATAAGTGGTTAAGGTCCTCACCTTGCACGCCCGGGATCCCATATGGGCGCCGGTTCTATCCCGGCAGCCCCACTTCCCTTCCAGCTCCCTGCCTGTGACCCGGGAAAGCAGTCCAGGACGGCCCAAGTCTTTGGGACCCTGCACCCGTGCGGGAGACCCGGAAGAGGCTCCTGGCTTCGGACCGGCATAGCATCGGCCGTTGCACTCACTTGGGGAGTGAATCATCGGACGGAAGATCATCCTCTCTCTCTCCTGTGCGTATATCCGCCTTTCCAATAAACAAAATAATAAAAATAAATCTTTAAAAAAAAAAAGAAAGAAAAAAAGATTTATTTGAAAGGTAAGTATAGAATGGGGAAGATGTTCTTCATCTATTGCTTTACTCCTGGAATGGCCACAATGGCCAGGATTGAGCCAGACTGGAACCAGGAGTCTCCCACAAGGGTGCAGGGGCCCAAACACTTGGGCCTCCCTCCACTGCTTTCCCAGGATGTTAGCCAGAAGCTGGAACAGCTGCCCATGTGGGATGATGGCATCACAGTTGATGGCTTTTTACAGGATGTGCCACAGCATGGCCCCTCCAGTCTGGAACCCCCCCTCCCCTTTTTTTTTTCATTTCCTCCTGTAGGTCACATCTTGCAAGTCTGTGGCTTCCTTTTACTTTGTTTAATCCTTGGAATTGTAAGTCATGGTAAAGACACTTATCTTGCCACCACTGAGTACCAGGGACGTTGGGTGTGATCTAGCATGTTTGGCTTGTTTTTTCTGGCTCTGTCTTAGACCCTTGCTTTCCCAGGATGAGGAGACATCCAGAAGTGGATGACAGGTCATGAACTTCCTGATCTGGTCCTTACTGGGCCACTCATGTGACTCATGAAGGCAGGTCATGACACACACACCCCCAATTGCTTTGTGGCATTTTTAGAATTATGGTCAGGAGCTGCGAAAGCAATGTCCACAGTGTCCTGGTCAGCTTCCTGCTACTGCGGGAAGTTCACAGGTCTGCTCTTAAGACTTTCCACTTGTCTTTCCTCAGCTGCTGTGTAGCCGGTGTCCTTCCCTGGCCTTTTAGGTGGCCATAGCCTCAGTGTGTCCATGAACCAAAAGCTTGAAACTCATTCACGAACTCAGTCAAGGTATAAAATGTATAAGGTTGCAACTCAGGTCTGACCTGCCAGGATGCAGGGGCCGTGTCCCAAAACCAGAGGTCAAGTGGGAACTGCCTTTCAGAAGACAGTGCTGGGGGCTAGGGGAGGGGTTTCCTTCTGGAAAAAACTCTTAAGGCCATGGTACACAAGAAGGGGTGGAGGGGCTGGAAGGAAGCCAGGGAAAGCTCAACCAGCTTTTTGTGCCGCACTTGCACATTGAGTGTGTTCTGTGTTTATGTCACAGTGTGTGAACATTGAGTGCATTCTGTGTTTATCTCAGTGTCACACTATTGAATATATTCTATGATTACCTGTCTGAGGGTGTATTCCACCTTTATCTGTCATTGCATGTTGAGCATGTTTCATGTTGATAGTATCTGAGTGTTCAATGTGTTTCTTGTATATGTCACGGTATGTCAACATTGCTACTGTTCCACATTTATCTGTCACACAGCGTCTGAAGGTGAGTGTGTAGTACTCTGACAAAGGAAGTCGAATGTGTTTAAAATTGCAGAACTTGTAATTTCAGCAACTTAGTCTTTGAAGATTTAACCCTACAACAAGGGTTTATGTTTTCATAGTTTCATGGCTTTGTGTTAAATGAGGTTTAAATTACCTGTATGAGTATAGCATTTGATGCCAAATTAACTGTCTGCTTCACTCCCAAATGTCCACAATAATCAGGGCTGGGTCAGCCCAACGCCAAGAGTCAGGAACTCCATCCAGGTTTCCCACACAGGCAGCAGGCACCCCACCTACTCAGCCCAGGCACTCCATTATGGGATTCAGGAATCTCAGCTGGCAACACCCACCCCTAAAATGATGCGGTTTTCAACCTTGGGGTTAGAATAATGACCCATTGCTGAACAAGGTAGGTTTGTTGCTCCAAGCACACAAAGACCACTTTGACTGTGATTTGGAAAGTAAAAGCTGTATTTTCAACACTGGCCAACAGAAGAGCTGGAGATGTTAGGACACACAGACTGCCCATCAACATGCTGTCCAGGCTGGGGTGCAGCACTTCATGGTGAGGTTGTGGAAGGCGAGTGCTGGCTCCCCCTCTCCTCCTCAGCAGGTTCTTTCCATTACCCGTGCTGTGGGATTGGCATTTTGAGGTTCTGTTGCTCTACATCTGCACCTGTATTCTTACGTCCTTGAGCAGTTCTCCTGAGAAATGAGAACTTTAGAAATAGGGTCGCACCTTGGCCAGGCACAGGGCAGGGAGGATTTGGGGAAAGGAGCAGGGAACAGTGTCTGGTATCAGCCCTGCTGCTGGAAGTCCATCCTTAGGTGGTTTGGGCTACATGCCTCTGCCTGTAGCCACACTCAGGAAAGGCATTAGTGACTATCAGATAACTGCTTGTTAGGGCCTGTTTATCATGGCATGAAGCGGGGCAGCAGTTTGCATCACAAGGGAATAGTTGGCCTTCCATTCAAAAGCAGCTAAAATGACAACAGCCAAGCAGAGAACATGACAGCCAAGGATCATATGGAAGAAGAGAACAGGGTATCAGATGACAGAAGAGCAGTCACCTGTGACAGGGGTCCAGTGGTAGAGTCATAAGTGATTCTGAGTTTGAGGAGAATGATGTACATTACACACAGCTAATTTCAGTTTTTAAACGAGAGCTGTAACTGATGCACATCCATAAAAACATTTATTTTAAAGGCAGAGCTGTGAGAAAGTGTTGGGAGACAGAGGGAGGCAGGTGAAGAAACACCAGAGCTTAGCATGGCAGGGGTTCAAGGTGTTTGGTCGTTACTGATGTGGGATTGGCACCAGCTGGATGTCTTTATTTATTTGTTTGTTTTTAGAGATGTGTTTTTTTTTATTATTGGAAAGGCAGATCAGATTTCCAGAGAAAGGATGAGGCAGAGACGAAGATCTTCTGACTGCTGGTTTACTCCCCAAATGGCTGCAACAGCTGGCCTGCCCCAAAGCCAGGAGCTTCTTCCAGGTCTCCCACACAGGGCAGGGTCCCAAGGCTTTGAGCCATCCTTCACTGCCTTCTCAGGCCACCCAGGGAGCTAGATGGGAAGTGAACAGCCAGGACATGAACTGGCACCCACATGGAATCTCAGCAGATGCTAGGCAAAGACTCTAGCCACTAGGCTATCATGCCAGGCCCCAGCTGGATGTTTTAATTAAATATCCCACTAACATCTAGAAGAAGCTCCTGGCTCCTGGGTTCAGATTGGCTCAACTCTGGCCATTTTGGTCATTTGCGAAGTGAACCAGTGGATGAAAGATCTTTGTTTCTCCTTTTCTCTGTGATCTGATCTGCCTTTCTAACAAAAATTAGAAAGCTTCCCCCACCCCCCCTTTTTTTTCTTAAAAAAAAAAAGCCACCAAGAAAAAAACCAGACAATCCTCATAAGAGTCAGGGCTATGGTGCACTGGGTAAAACCACGATAATGCCTGGTCCCATATGAGCACCTCTTCAGTCCCAGCTGCTCCAGTTCTGATCCAGGTCCCTTCTGGTGCACCTGGGAAAGCAGTGGAAGATGGCCTAAATGCCTTGGGCCCCTGCATCCCTATGGGAAGCTCCTGGCTCCTGGTTTTACCTGGCCCAGACCTATCACTGGGTGTGAGCCAGTCAATGGTGCTGTCTCCCTCTCTCTGCCTTTCAAGTAAGTGAATAAATCATTGAAAATATTATGTCATCTTAGTATGCATGATTATTTCAATAAAATAATTTAACATATGTCATGTGGACATGAAGTCAGTCTGAGATTTCAGACATCATTTATTTTTCCTTCAAGACTCCATGTCAAGATCCACTAGAAATGCAATGTTTGCAGTGTGGAGGGGTCTGATGGTTGCAGGCTGTGTGATTGCAAACCAGTGGTCAGAGTCTGTGTCTAGCTTGTGATTCATGTTCTGATTGAAGGCTTTCAAAGATTGAGGTCCTGGTGTGGTTGCCTAGTGGTTAAAGTCCTTGTCTTGCATGTGCTAGGATCCTATACGGGCACCAGTTCATTTCCTGGCTGCTCCACTTCCCATCCAGCTCTCTGCTTGTGGCCTGGGAAAATTGGGAGAGCACAGGGCAGCCCAAAGCCTTGGGATCCTGCACCCACGTGGGAGATGCAGAAGAAGCTCCTGGCTCCTGGCTTTGGATCAGCTCAGCTCTGGCTGTTGTGGCCACCTGGGGAGAGAGCCAGTACATGGAAGATCTCTCTTCTGTCTCTCCTCTCTGTAAAAATCTGACTTTCAAAAAAATAAATCATTAAAAAAAAAGTTGGGGAGGGGATGACTTTGTTTTATGGTAGGCTCAGCCTCCACCTGCAGTGCTTGCATCCCACATGGAACTGTTCAAATCCCAGCTGCTCTACTTCTGATCTAGATCCTTGCTGTGCGCCTTGGAAAGCAGTCGACAACGACCCAAGTGAAGGCCCAGTTGAAGCTCCTGGTTTCCCTGTGGCCCGGCACCAGCTGTTGTATCCACTGGGTGATGGGGGACTTTATCTCTCCCTCCCTTAACTCTGCCCTTCAGAGGAATACAGTAAATCTGAAACAATACTAGGAGTGTGGCCAGTGTTGTGGCATGCCAGACTAAGCCAAATCCTGTGACCCCGCATCCCATCTGATGTGGCTGCTCCACTGAGGGATGCTCACCCAGGCTCATTTGGGGACTGAATCAACAGATGGAAGATCCTCCTCCTCTCTCCAACTCTGCCTTTTAAATAATAAATAAATCTTTAAAGCAAGAAGATTAGGGGAGAAAAATTACTCCCCATGAAATGTAATGTTCAAATAAATGTACATTTGAGAAACTATGACCAAGATATTTTAGTTGGTCTGCTTAGAAAAGAGCATTTTCTGTGAATTAAAGACAATACTTTGCTTCATGAACAAGTAGGGGATTCTAGTGTTCATAATAAAGCCAGCAGGAGATACATATATGCAAGGTGCACAGTGGCCTTACCATTTGTTCTTTCACGGAAGCTTCAATCCCAGCCTGCACCATCAAATCACTTACATTCTTCTGTAGGTCCTCGATGCGATGCCCCATTTCTTCCAGTAGGAGGTTAGGGAGAATGGCAGGGTGAAATCAGCGCCAGGGTCTGTCAGTCCCTTCCTACGAGTGCTTCTGCCCTGGAAACCTGTAAGTTTCTTGCTTGCGCATGGATTAGGGATAGGAGTTTGGTGTGATTTAGCCAAATTCTGAGTGTGCAAATGAAATGACCTCTTCAAAACCAAAATTTCTAAGGTCTTCCCACATTTGAGAATATTTTTGTTCTGGGGAACTATGTATAGCATCAAGGTGCAGGTGGGGTGGGTGTGGTGGTGCGGCAGCTTGTCTCCCTCAACTCTAGCATCCAATGTGGATGCTGTTTCAAGCTGCAGCTGCTCCACTTTGCATCCAGCTCCCTGAGAAACAGCCTGGGAAAGCAGCAGAGGATGGCCCAGACCTTGAGCCCCTACACCCTCATGAGAGATCCGGAAGCAGCTCCTGACTGCAACCCAGCCCAACTGGTGGGGATGGAAGATCTCTCCCTAATTCTGAATTTCAAGTAAGACAAATAAATTGCTGGGCAGATATTGCCCTTATCTGGAGGTGTTCAAACTGGAAAAAAAAATATTCTGCCCTAATTCTGCTTGATTTCTTGTTTTTTGTTCCTAAGACAAGCAGGCAGCTGCCACAAGGCTTGGGAAACCCCTGGGTGGTTCTGTGCATTTCTGGGCTCCCGGATTCCCTAAAATAGTCCCAGCTGAGTGAACGCGACCTCTCCGGTCCACAGAAAGGATATTTCTGAGGGTTAGCGTTGCAGTTAGAGCTTGAAAATGTTCTTGGATCTCTTGGAATAGATTTTCTGCCTGGAAAAAAAAAAGGGGGGAAAAACATAAGCCACAAGGGAACCCAGTGAGTGCACTACCACTTCTCTGCGTCACATCTGATAGGGTGGCAGCCCCGTTCTGCTTGGTTTGCTCTTGGACATTTGATTCAAAGGAAACAGAACCCCTTCTCCACAAATCCTACTGGGTCAGTAGACCAATCAAACTGCAGGTGGAGGGGAAGCCTCTCCATCAAGCTTGCTGCCTCCCACGCACATCCTGACCCCTCTAGGAGGCCAGGGTTGCAACATGATGGGTTCACCTTTGTCAGAACAAATCTCCAAGCTGGACAAATGCCTTCAGAACACATTGTCTTCTACCTCCCCCCCCCCCCCCCCCCGCCCCGGGGAAAAGGAGCGCTCACCACATCCTGCAGCGTGTCTGAGCGGGTTTCTGGCAGGCGGTCATCCATGGGACCCAGGCGCCTAGGGTCGCTCAGGGCAGCGAGTTCAACCCCGCTGTGGCTCCTGCCCAGGGGAACTCCCAGCAGACCAGCCCCACTCCTTCCTTCTTGTGGCCGGCGGGGCGGGGCCAGGCCAGCCTGCGATGCAGCTGTGTGGGAGGCGGAACTGTTGTTGCAGTGCAGTGTCCTGACTTGGGGCCTCCTTGACAACTGCGGGCCCTGTGTGGGAGCCAGAGGGTCCCCTCCCGTGGAACTTCCCCCAGGGAGCAGCTGCCACCAACCCTGCCTTCTGATATCTGAGTTGACAAATTTCTAAAATGACGCCATTGATGAAGACCTGGCCACCCCCACACTGCCCGAGCTTGCTGGCCTGGTCACCCCCACGCTGCCAGAACTGGCAGGTGGCCCAGGGTGTGTCACCACTTGAATCTCCATAGGCCCCAGCAGCTTCTTTCCAGTTGTCCCAGACCTTGACACCCCCACTCCCTTTTCCCACTTCCAGATCCTGCTGTGGCTGCTGGGCGCTTGGCTGGGCTGCAGCCCTATGGGGGCAGGGCACATCTAGGTCATTTCACATTCCCCAGAGCCCAGCCCAGTGGCAACACACAGAGGGTTGGTTTACCCGGTGGTGGTGGTGGCCGCATATCCCTGCAATCCTTAGTCATCCAGGAAATGTGGACGCCACCCCTGCAGCCCCACCTTGTGCCCTGTGGTGGGGGTCCTTCAGTATCTGGCCTACAGCTACTGCCCTTGGAGTTGACCCACCGTGGGTCTGAGCTCCAAGTTGCATCCATGCATGTTCACTCAGCCATGATGTGCCTGAAGGTAGAGGCAGGACCACCCAGAGGTGGCTCAGAGGGCCTGTCTTGGCTGCTGGCCACCTACTGCTGCCTTCCTGCCCCACTTCCGTGTCTTCCTGAGGAGAAGCCGGGCCTGGCGCACCCAAGGGTGGCTCAGGTGTGAGGAATCCTGGTGGGCGGCCCTTGGCTTCCCTTTGAGTGGCTGCAGCCACCCACAGAGGCAGGCAGCATTGGCGGCTGCCTCACAGCTCCTGGAAAGGCCACGCCTCAGACAATCCTGTCAGAATCACACACTGGCTTCAGAACAGACTTGCCTGAGCCGCCTCAGAACAGCCAAGATATCTTTTCTTCTGGAGAAAGTTCTCGAGCCTCTGCTCTGCCTCTCCTTTGGGAGCACCAAGCTCTTCAGCCTCACCCAGGGGACAGCCCAAGTCATACTCACAGCAGGACCGGACGTCCTCTTCTGACTTCAGGGCTAGTCCCTTGCGGGTTCCAGGCAATTCCCTCACTGCACCTAGGGGAGCTCACCCCTTGGTTTCAATGGAACATGTGGGGATACCACAGTCTGCTCTTTCTTCTTCTCCTCTCCCCTTCCACCCTCCCCTCCCCTTCCTTTCCCTTCCCTCCCTTCCTCCCCAAGGAGGAGCAGGGTTCTCACTGAGTGGGCCCAGGACCCAGCATGGAGTTAGGTCAGAGGCTGAAGGGGGTGGTATGGTGAGGCTCCCAGGGATAACCTCACCAAGGACTGCAACGTAACTGCTAAAGCATGACGGAAGAGTTCAAAGGAAGATTCTGGGGCCTGGTACAATAGTCTAGTGGCTAAAGTCCTTGCTTTGCATGTGCCAGGATCCCATATGGATGCCAGTTTGTGTCCCAGCTGTTCCACTTCCCTTCCAGCTCCCTGCTTGTGGCCTGGGAAAGCACTCTTAGGACCCTCCCATGTGGGAGACACAGAAGAAGCTCCTGGCTCCTGGCTTTGGGTCAGCTCAGCCCTGGCCGTTATGGCCACTTGGGGAGTGAACCAGCAGATGGAAGATTTTTCTGTCTCTCCTCTCTGTAAATCAGACTTTCAAATAAAAATAAATAAATCTCTAAAAAAAAATGAAGTTTCTGGAAGCAGAGTCACTATAGGTGTGTGTGTGTCTGAGTCACACAGGGTCATGTCTCAGTCACACAGGATCGTGTGTGTGTGTGTGTGTGTGATTCAGTCACAGGGTCGTGTGTCAGTCACACAGGGTCGTTGTGCGTCTCCGTCACACGGGGTAAGTGTGTGTGTGTTGTTGTGCCCAGATGTTGAGATTTCCCAGAAATCATCAGGAGTCTGAAGTCAATCCAAGTACACAAGGATGGTTTATTCAAGCTCAGTATATCCGAGCCTGGGTTCTTGTTTGAGAGCAGGCAGCTGGCTGATCGACTGGCCAGCCTGCCCGCCAGGACCAACACCCCTTACCGGAGTGTGGCCCCAAAGAAAACATTCATAGGGTTTTTATAGGGGCAGTCCAAAATAGCTTGAAAAGGGGCAATTCACAACAGCCTGCAAGGTGAGGAGAATACCACGCATTCCCTACCTTTCCTGGCTGGACAGCCCATGCCTCCAGCAACTAAGGGAAGCACCCACTTAATTACTTGGAGCCAGCTGTGAGATAACCAGACTTAGGTGGGTCTTGATTCATAAGAATTGGGACCCATCATTGTAAAGGTCATATAGGCCGTCTGGCCTGCAAGTTCATACAGTTTCTTAGTAGTAATGAGCCATGAACAAATGGCTGGAATTTTGATACTGAGGATCTTCGGTGTCTCATTCATACAGGGCTGTGTGTGTGTGTGTGTGTGTGTGTGTGTGTGTGTGTGTGTGTGTGAGATTCACACGGGGGAGGGGGGTGTCAGTCACACAGGGCCATGTGTATCTGTGTGTGATCCAGTCACACAGGGTCGTGTGGGGGTGCTCTCTGATTCCTGGCAATGTCTAGAACAAGCAGGTCAGTGGTTGCCTGAGGCCAGGAACTGTGGGGGTGGGAAGAAACTGTTTATTTAGTAAGTGCAGCATTTTATTTTAGGATGAGGGGAGTTCTGGAACTAGATGAAAATGCTGCTCACCCAGCATTGTGACTGGATGAGGGCAAATCCATAAAGTCCGTGGAAGATGGAGTTAAAAGATGTTTATTTTAGTGAAGAAAACCTGAAGTCTGTGCCTTCAGGGTGTCCTTATAAAGTTCATGGAAAACATGTGTTATTTTGCGACTTTTTTTCAGTGTAGTTTGTATGTGAAGTGCCCGTGAATTCCCTTTTAATAAAGTGGCTGATTCCGGACTCTGGGAGGCATGACGACTCCAGAAGGAGGCTGACCGGTCAGTGGCCCTTGATCGAAGCTTGCTCGCATGCCGAGGCGTCCCCTCGCCCACCCCCTTGACTATGGGGGACAGGGGCTCCTGCACACACACCTCCACCCCGGCAACCGGCCGCGGGAACAGCAGCGTACGCGGCCATGTGGAAATGGCTGGGCACACTCTAGGACCCGGCGGAGCCGCCCTCCAGGCCGGCGAGGGCGGAGAGCCGGCGAGCGTGACGTCACGGGGCGGGTCCGCGCGCGGACGGTGGAGGGGTGCGCGGTCAGGGCGCGCGGACGCTGGTCAGGGAGCGCGGACGGTGGAGGGGTGCGCGGTCAGGGCGCGCGGACGGTGGAGGGGGTGGTCAGGGCGCGCGGACGGTGCAGGGGCGCGCGGACGGTGGAGGGGGTGGTCAGGGCGCGCGGACGGTGCAGGGGCGCGCGGACGCGGAGGGGTGGTCAGGGCGCGCGGCCAGGCGGAGCCGCCCGAGGCCGGGCCCGAGGGTGCGGGGCGGCGCCTCTCTGTCGCTCTGCCCGCCGAGAGCGCTCGACCGTGAGCCCTGCCCCGCCCGGTGTCCCGGGCCGTCCTTACCTTCGTCCCCTCCCGCCAGGCCCGACGGCGGAGCGCGCAGGTGGTGGAGACATGTGGAGGTGACGTTGCGCGCAGAGCCCGGGGGAGCACACGCCCGCGGCGGGGATGGAAGCAGAGAGTCTGGCCTGGCTGCTGGCGCCGCTGCACCGCCTGGTGTCCTGGGGGGCGGCCGGGGCCATGGTCTTCGGCGGGGTGGTGCCCTACATCCCTCAGTACCGCCAGATCCGCCGGACGCAGAGCGCAGAGGGCTTTTCCACCTACGTGTGCCTGGTGCTGCTGGTGGCCAACATCCTGCGGATCCTCTTCTGGTGAGCGGCTGGGACGGGACCGGGAGAGGGGAGGCCGAGATTCCCTCGGACCCTGGCGCCTGCCCGGTCCCTCCCCACGTTTCAGGCGGCGGAGTAGTCTTGGGCCCTTCTGCCAGCGCTCGCTCTCTCGGAAGGAGAAAGCGGATGACTTGCTCACCCACTTCTGCCCCTCTCTGGCCAGCAGCTTCCTCTTATTTGTTAAGGAAATAAACTAGTTTTGAGTGAGTCCAGGCCAGAAGGAAGAGGAGAGCCGGGCTCCAGCTGCTGCCCAAGGTCGGGAAGCAGGTGGGCAGCTGTCCCAGAACTTGGCCCTGGATGCTCGCCACTGAGCCAGCTCCAGCTAGCCCCGCTGAGGTAGACTTGCCTCATTTTGAGGACTTGGGGGAGGATCCTGCTTTGTGTGGGTGGCCCTCCTCTGGCAGGAGGCTGACTAGGGCCACCTTGCAGGGTGCTCTGTTGAAAGAGTTGAAAACTGCTTACCCCTCCACCTCCCACAAACTGAGTGACAGCGGCCAGGTGACTGGAGTGGCTTTGGGCGCAGTGCCAGGGAAGCAGGTCCCTGGATATAGCCTGGGCTGCCTTTGCTGCTCCCCTGCCCAGCTCCTGTTTGCAGACTTGGGGTTTGTGGAATACAGCATGGTGGAGAGCTGCCAGGAAGGAAGTTCCTGAGAGTGGCTTTCCTCCCAGCACAACTCAGCACCCCAGACCAACTTCCTAGACCCTCACGTCACTACCAGGTGTACCTGGGCCCCAGATGTCTGGGCTAGGATCTTGTGGGTGCTGAACACTGCTCACAGGTGAGCTTGGAGACCCTGTACTTTGAGCCGGCCTGGGCTCCTGGAAATTTTGTGTGGATCCAGGAGGCTGCGAGGGTAGAGAGTGCTGCATCTTTGTGCAGCCAAGTGCCCATGCCACACATACACACAGCACACGTGTGCACAGAGGGCACCAGGGCTCGTATGTACATACAGCACACGTGTGCACAGAGGGCACCAGGGCACATGTACACACAGCACACGTGTGCACAGAGGGCACCAGGGCTCATGTACACACAGCACACGTGTGCAGACAGGGCACATGTACGCACAGCACACGTGTGCATAAAGGGAATCGAGGTTGATGTGGAGGAGGAAGAGTAGCTCTTCCTAGGCCTGGGAGCTGGGTGACTGTGATGCTGGTGGGATGCAGAGCTCTTAGTGTGGGGTAAATAGGAAGTTAGTATAGGATTGCTGAGCTTGAAGTCACACCCCCTCATGCAGTGCTGCTCTCCTTGTCAGAGTACCCTCTTTTCCAGGATGCACATTTTTGTCTGGGAGCTGGGTAGGGATAGCATGAAAATGGGAACTTGTATGTGTGCTGTGGAGTTCACCGATGGCCGCACCCCAGGAGAGAGGGTGCCCAATTAGCCTGGGCAGGGGGCTCTCGCCCTCTCCTGAGGAACACAGCTAAAGGGCTTGCAGGTGTGATCTGTCTCTCCTCCCTGTTTGTGTTCATGCTCTCTAGCTTCATCACTGTTCAAACTGCATTTGTGCCAGGACTTGGAATGAGATAGGAGCCTGGAGTGAAAAGATTAGCGCCCCCCCCCCAGTCACTCTGCAGGCACTGGAGAGTTTCTTGCTCCACAGAGTAAGCCTCAGCAGGATGAGGCCGATGGACCCTGTGTGACGCTTGTCTTGGTCCTGGTTTTGACCACATCCTAGAAGTGCATATGCACTGGTTGGGGATTGCGATGTCAGAAGCGTGGGCTGGGGGCTGGGAGACGTTTGTGGACTGTGACAGAGAAGGGGAAAGGAGCCAGGTGTGTGCCAGTTGCTGACTGGGTGTTCCAGTCCTGTCATGAGGGAAGTTGGGGGGCACAGCCTCTGTGCCTGCTGGCGTGCCCACGGGGGTGGCACTGGCATCTCTGTTCCTCAACTCAGACCTCTGTGTGGACCAACTTGCAGGAGTAGAGTACAGTGCTGTCCTGCTGGCTCGGCAGCTCAGGTGGTTAGGATGAAAGGAGCTGGAACCTGGCTGATCGAGGCTGGCATGTGTTTCTTCAGCTTTGTGAGAGGACGCAAGTTAAACTTACTCCGCTGTGTCTGAGAGCTGCAGGTGTGGCCTGTGGACACCAGGCTCATCCCCTCGTGTTTGTAGCAGTTGGAAGTGGTCTCTCCCGAGGACGTGGTCAGGGCTCACACTTAGTCCAATGACCAGGAGTGAGGGTCATGGCCCCTGTACCTGCTGGCCTCACCCTAGCTCTGTGCTCTGAGGGCACAGGGGTCATGGGTCATGGGTGATACTCTTGTGGGTGTAAGCCTGCCATGCCTGGCCTTTGCCCTGGGCACACAGCAGCCTGTGTCCAGCGGGGTCTGGTCTGTCCATGTCTCTGCATGGCTGCCTTGCTAGGCCAAGCTCTGATGAGAGTGCAGGATCCCCAGTGGCGTCCTGCCTGTCCAGGCTCTGGCATTCTGTCACCTGTGCCGGCTTGGTGCCTTGTTCCTGTCCCTTGGGGTGGCTGTTGTCTGCAGGACTCAGGAGCTTCCAGGAGATGTGCCTGGGATGTGGGCTCGGCCTGGCCTTGGTGTTTGCTCTGTGCAAGTAGCTGGGCAAAGTGGCCTCAGTTGGGGAAGACCCCGCGGGAGGGTGCCAGACGTTCTGTTCCCTCAGAGTCCCATGGAGACAACCCCTCACCCTGGTGGTGAACATGAACTTGAGGGTTGGACACAAAAGCAGATCCGAGTGTGGCTTTCCTGTTGGCCTGACATTTTCCCGGGTGCTCAAGCAGTCTTCCCCAGCTGGGCCATGACACCAGGCTGCAGGCGTCGGCATTGTTGCCCATAGATCGCTGGCAGTGAGGCCACTGCTAGGTGTTGTGTACTGTCTGGGCACTTGGGGTTCTTCTCGGGCATCTCAGGTCAGTAGGACTCAGGGCTTCTGCTCTGTCTTGCCAGGGCCTTGCTTGGCTGCTGCCTTTCCGAAGGCTCACTACCTTCCCCCAGGCCTGGGCCATAGTGGGCCCTTCTGTGTCCCCTGTGTCTGGGATTTCAGCTATTTGTTCTGTTGAGCTCACTTTGACTTTGGTGTTGGCCACCAGTTTAAATCTTGGAAATACTCTTTCGGGTCAGAGAACCCCAAACCAGTTCTCACCAGGTCAGGCAGGCTGGGGTAGGGTCTGGGCTCTGAAGGATGCAGGGCCAGATCTCACCCTGGTCCTGGTGGCAGTGGGTCTGGATTCCAAGGCCATCCACTCTGGATCTGGGACCTATGACCATCCACTTTGAGTCTGGGTCCCACGGCCATCCGTGCTGGGTCTGGGACCTACGGCTTTCCATGTTGGGTCTGGGTCTCATAGCCATCCACTCTGGGTCTGGTACCTATGACTGTCCACACTGGGTCTGGGTCCCATAGCCATCCACTCTGGGTCTGGGACCTATGGCCATTCACGTTGGGTCTGGGTCCTTCAGCCATCCATAACAGGTCTGGGACCTGTGGTTGTCTATGCTGGGTCTGGGTTCTCATGGCCATCCATAGTAGGTCTGGGGTCCCACAGCTGTCCACTCTGGGTCTGGAGTCCTGTGGTCATCCACACTAGATCTGGGGTTGTATGGCCATCCACACTAGCTCTGGGTCCCACAGCCATTCGTGCTGGATCTGGAGTCCTGTGGTCATCCACACTAGATCTGGGGTTGTATGACCATCCACACTGGGTCTGGGTCTCCACGGCCATCATCGCTGGGTCAGGGGTTCCACAGGCTTCATCACTGGGTTGGGTCCCACGTCTGTCCACGTTGGGTCTGGGATCCTGGTGCTGCCACCGGCTCCCCTGACCTGCGGCCTCTTTCCCTCCCCAGGTTCGGAAGGCGTTTTGAGTCCCCACTCCTGTGGCAGAGCATTATCATGATCTTGACCATGTTACTGATGTTGAAACTCTGTACTGAAGTCCGCGTGGCGAATGAACTGAACATAAAACGCCGCTCGTTTGCAGGTTGGTGAGTGTGGCTTTTGAAAATAGAAGTTGACTTTCAGGTGCCTGGCTCAGCAAGTGTGGTGTGTCTCCTGTTCCTCAGTTAAAGCAGGAGCCGCTTCCGCTGCACCAGATGGCCCCTCTGCCTGAGGTCAGTTGTGCTCTTGGTGCTGAGTGAATTCAGCAAGAGTTTTAGATGTGAAGCAATTTGAGAGAGTGTTGTCTCACTGCCAGGGCGAGGGATGACGGCTTCCCTGCAGCTCCTTTGTTTGGGCCTCAGCTTCTCCCTCAGAGCTGGACATGTGTCCATCTACCAAGGCCCAGGCAGGCAGCATCTCTGGCTTCACATGTAGTTGGACAGGGGTCGCATATACCTTATCCTGTGTACATGCAGGATCATGCTATCACAGGCTGCACATGCTGTGTGCTACTGACACACTTAGCACATACTTAGCATGGGCTGCTGGAACAACACACACAGTCTACATGCTCTGTTGTATTCACCCGTAGTACATGTAATACATGGCAGCCCTGGCCATTCAGTGACTCAGAGCAAACAAAGGAGTTGTTCCTCACTGGACATTCTCTGTGTCCCTGCGGGAAGGTGCTCTCTGGTCTCGAGGTGGTAATCTTCTGCTGGTCCCCCTCTAGGCCTTGGGGCTCTAGTCTTGGGTCATGAGGGCCATGTTGCTGGGGAAGGGTGGCCCCCAGAGGCTGCTGTGGCCTGAGACCTGTGTGGCGCTTTCTGATTTTGCCCTCCTCCTCCTGGAGAGGGCCCTTCCTCTTGCCTTCCACGCCTTCCAAGGTGAGGTGAGCATCCTTGTGGAACCGGGCTGCCTTTGGCTCTGCCCAGGCATCTGGACAGTGCTGGGCAATTGAGCCATGGAGACCATGCTGGGCCTGCTTCTACTGGCTTCGCCCTCTTCTCTCCCTTCCCCTGTCCTCCTCTCTCAGTGTCTGGGCTCTGATTTGGGTTGAAATTTCACCAGGCTGGAGCCAATGACATTACCGTGCCCAGAGAGCTATGTGCTGGAGGCCAGCCAGAATCAGGAGGGCAGAGCTGTGGGCTCAGATTTCATCGGAACTATCCGGAACACTGGGACGTGATTGGTGTCTCTCCTACCAAAGCTATTGGCGTGAGACCAGCTCTTGAAGCCCTGTCTGAGATGCTGTGGCACGGGGAGGGTCTGTGTGGACTGTGACCAGGGGGCGTGGGGAGGGTCCGTGTGGACTTATGACCAGTGGGCATGGGGAGGGTCCATGTGGACTTATGACCAGTGGGCACGGGGAGGGTCAGTGTGGACTGCGACCAGTGGGCTTAGGAAGGGCTCTGCCAGCACACATTGGGCATGTCCTCTGTCAGGGCGCCTGCTGTTCTGGCTGACTTCTCAAGAGGAGCAGGTATGCTTTGTTCACCAGAACTGACTTGAAGCTCTGAATCCCAGTTGTCAGGGCTCTACAGGCCTGGAGTCCAGATTTCCAGCAGGTGGCTCTGCCACAGCGGGCAGAATCGTGAGTCCCTGGTGTCCACACGTCAATCTTCTGTGGCTGAGGGAGTCTGCTTGGGACACGGCCCTGTAGTACTTGTAGATCCTACTCAATCCTGAGAGTCCCCCGACTCAGACACTAGGGGTGTCACTCACACCATGCTGTTTGGGTCTGGGTGACAGCTCCTTCTCTGTGAGCCACACGACATGGGCCCTGGCATCTTCCAGGGTCACTTGGACAAGACATGTGATTTGGCTCATTTTCTCTTGGCTGTCAGAAGTGGGGAGGATGGGAGAGAACTGCAAGGCTCTGGATTAGCTGCCAGCCCCTCTCAATGTGGAAGGTTCCACCTGCACTTGCTCCGGAGCCAGTGAGGGCTGTCAGCTCACCCAGCCTCACCTGAGGACCGAGAGAGAGAGAGAGAGAGAGAGAGAGAGAGAGAGAGAGAGAGAGAGAGAGAGAGAGAGACCGTCCCCGACCATTAGTGTCAAATCACTCCATGCTCTCAATGGATGGTCAGGTGTCCTGAGAAGCCATCAGCATTTTCTAGCTGCCTTTTGTAGGGTTTTCAAGTTGAAGGTCACCAGTTCAGTTTGAAAGTTAAAGAAGCACAGCTGGTGTGGGAGAAACAGCAGGTGACTAGGAATTGTAAATATGAATTTGTTGTTTGATTCTAAGGACCATAAGTGCCCTTGTGTCCTCAGCGCAACCAGCTCCCGTGTGGCCCTCTGTCCTGGGCAGCCGGCCAGCAACTGTGTGGACCTCTCTGTTTTGGGCAGATCCTTGTCCCCAACCTGGCCAGCTCCCGTGTGGCCCTCTGAGTCTCTGTCTAAGCCTGTCCAGACCCTGGTCTTTGGCTTGTGGGGACTCCTATTGTCAAGTTTCCTGTGTCGGTTGTTGCCAGCTGGGCCATGGCCAACCCTGCTGGTTTCTCTGGGCAGCGAGTGAGTGTGCACCCCTGGACAGGGGTGATAGTCCTCTCCCTGGATTTTGATGTTGACTTGTGAGTCTTTTTTTTTTTTTTTGTAAGATCTATTTATTTTAGGGCCCAGCATGGTAGCCTAGCGGCTAAAGTCCTTGCCTTGCATGTGCCAGGATCCCATGTGGGCACTGGTTCTAATCTCGGTGGCCTCGCTTCCCATCCAGCTCCCTGTTTGTGGCCAGGGAAAGCAGTGGAGGACAGCCCAAAGCCTTGGGATCCTCGTCTTGCACCCGTGTGGGAGACCCAGAGGAGACTCTTAGCTCCTGGCTCTGACTTTGAATCAGCTCAGCTCTGGCCGTTATCGCTGTTTGGGGAGTGAATCAGTGGAAAGAAGATCTTTCTCTTTGTCTCTCCTCCTCTCTGTATGTCTGACTTTACAATAAAAATAAAATGTCCAATGATTCACTCCTCAAGTGACTGCAATGGCTAGTGCTGCGCTGCTCTGAAACCAGAAGTCAGGAGCTCTTCTGGGTCGCCCATGTGCGTGCAGGGTCCCAAGGCTTTGGGCCATCCTTGACTGCTTTCTCAGGCTACAAGCAGGGAGCTGGATGGGAACTGGGGACGCTGGATCATGAACCAGGAGCCAGATGGGATCCAGGCATGTTGAAGGCGACAACTTTAGCTGCCAGGGCAGGTACCATGCTGGCCTGGCTTGTGAATCTTGTGGTGACAATCATGTTTGTTCACTCATTCTTCTGGGTGTGGATGTAAAAGCTGCAAAGTCATTTGTGTGGTGTTTCCTTGCTGGTCCAGACTCTGGTTGCTCAGTCTCTGACTGCGAGCCTTCAGTATCCCCACCCTGGACCCTGGCCTAGCCCGGGGTCACCAGGATGTCACATCCCATATCAGGGGACTGGGTTTGGGTCCCGGCTCTGCTCCTTCCTGCCTTTGTGTCCTTAGGAGGCAGAAGGGATGGTCCAAGCACTTGGCTCCTTTGCTGCTCCTTAGATTGAATTCCCTGCTCCCGGCTTTTTTTGGCCCAGTGACATTTGGAGAGTGAATGGGCAGATGGGAGTTGTTTGTCTCTGTGTGCAAATAAATCAATAGGATTTTCAGAGGCCCCTGTGCTGTCTGCACTTCCTGTGCATGCCCAGGATCTGTCCTTTCTCCCAGAAACCTGAGGTCGGGGACATGGCACCTGGAGACTAGCCACAGTCTGTGTGGGCACTGTGCATATGGGAGGTTAGGGATTGCGCTGGACCTTTTCTGTGGGTGAGAAATGTTTTGCTAATGCATGTAGATGTCTCGGCCTCAAGCCTGTGGTGACCTATCCAGGCCACTTCACTTGGACTGTGCTTAGCCTGTCTGTCTCCCAAGACATACATGTGTGATGGGACTACATCACACACGTATGTCCTGCAGGGGTGTGAGGGTGCTGAGGGCTCAGTCATGGATGACATCACAAGTGTGTGTCCTGCAGGGGTGTGAGGCAGGAGGGCTGCCATGGGAAGTTTCTGCCGCCGAGCCGCCATGGCAGGCTGAGCCTAGCTTGGGTTGTGTTCTCATGCTGCACCCACGCTGCGTGCTGGGCAGTGCAGCTCTTGAGTGGGGACACCATGGTGCGTGTGCTCCGAGAGCAGTTCCCTTGGTGCCTCAGGAAGTGGCCTGGGAGGTGGGCCCTGCAGCTGGAGCATCATCCCGTGGGTTCCCTGAAATAGCTGGCCCCTGAAGGTCACCCATGCCCCGGGACATCACTGAACATGGGGCAACCATTGCACTTTCTTAGAGGGTTGGGAGAGGGTGAAGGAAGCTGATCCACAAAGAGAGGTGGGTACAGAAATGAGAATTGGAATCTTTCTGTTTCTTTTAAAGAGATGCCAAATGGGAAATGCAGCTGTTCACCCCGCTAAAGCTGCGTGTTTTTTGTCTTGTCTCTCTGTGTCTTTCTCTGTAATTTTCTTTATGTAGCTGCTGATATTAAGGATGAAGGAAGCAAAGCACCCCCCAGGCGGTCCTATCTAGGTATGTAGTAGGTAGCACCTGCATGGGCTGCTCCGCAGCTGTCCACTGGCCCTTCTGCCTCATGGCTGCCTTAGCATACTGAACCTTGTTACCAAGCATGGCGTGTCTGCAGCCTGCTAACCACCCCCAGCACTGCATGACGTATTTCCTAGGAGCCTGTGTGTCTCTGTGTGTGTGCACATGTGTGAATGTGATGGGTGAAGAAGGGAGGAGGGGAGGGCGATGAGCAGGGTGAGATGGAAGGGAAGGGCTCTCACAACAAATTCCAAACCATCTTCATTACGTTTATTGCAGTCATTCTCTTTCTGATGCTGCTGCAAATGTCATTGCCTTTTTTTTAATTTTGATTTGCTCATTCTAAGTTTTTTTAGAAAGAACATTGATTTTGTGTAGCAACCTACGTCCCCCCCATTAGCTGAATCCACGTTGCTCCCAGTCAAAGCTCAGGATGTTTTGGAGGCTTTTCCTGGGCTCTGCACCTTCCTGTTTCTCATTCTCTTGCCCAGTTGCATTTGATGGAAGAGGAGAGAGAGGTGTGCTTCTCTTGGTCTTAGAGCTGGAGAGAAGGTGTCTGTAATCTTAGCTTCAG